TCCATCAACGGAGGAATGGATACAGAAATTGTGGTATTTTTACACAACAGACACTACATCTTAATGAACTTCAATTTATCCCTATTTTTTAAATGGTTTTTTGTTTGTTTGTTTGTTTGTTTGTTTTTTGACATTGTCTCTAGAAAATATTTGATTATCTAATGCTTAAAAAACAAAAAGATCTTTATAGTTTCTGTTGAAAGCTACGGTTCATCTCAGAACTTCACCTGTGTGCTTTCTGAGGCAGTCTGAGGTAAAACCCTCAACCCACCCCAATGGGCTGTTTTGACACCTCCCTCACTATGCTGCCTGGAGTCCGACAAAGCTTCGGTACACGGGTCTGTATACAGACTGGGTTCTGTCTGTCCTGGCAACCTTTCACTGCTTAATTATTCTTAGTATGAGTCCTCTAACTTTGTTTTCTGGCTTTTGGAGGTCCTTTGTATGTCCAGTCAAGTCTGATAATCAGCCTGTACATTTACTGCATAGTTTGCTGCAGTGGCCAAGGTCTTTCATAAAAGGGGACTGATTCGCAGCCTTGCAGAGGGGTCACTACTTACCTGAGAGGAACTTAGGAGCAGGAAGGCAGGCCAGGGGAGCAGACCTGAAGGCTCCTGCATACGGCTTCTACTGTTATATTTGAGGCTGCTTTCATCAGCTCAGCAAACTTGCTTCCAGGCATTTTTTTTCCCATCAGTTTTGCTCCATGCATACTTAATCCACATGTTGTGACTTGATATCTCCTGATGTGCTGATATTCTGTCACTGTGAACACCTCTGTCTAATCCTGTCATGGACACTGTCTTCTCGATTCCTTTCTCCCCCTGTCACTTACAGCCTCTCTCTTTAGAACGGCTGTCTGGAAGCAACACATGCCTGGTCTTGTTTCAAATCTAATCAGATATACCTGCCTTTACTCGATTATTTGATTTTTGTAATGAACATCCCTTTAATGTGTTGGGATTGGATCTGTCTTTTGACATGGTTTTTATTTGTCCCGTCTGCTTCTTTCCTTCATTGGACATCCAGCAGAGCTCTGTTTCTGGGGCCGATTTGAGTTGTGGACCAGTGGCCTGCTGTCCCAGAGGTCTCAGTGAGAAGTGGGTATAGTTCCCATGCTGAGGCCCTTCCTGCTCTTGTCAACTTTGTTAGACTCTTAACAATATTCCGTCCCATGTAATGACTTCATCTTTGGAAGACTCATCACAGTACTGTCCATGTTCAACTGGTGGAGCCCACCTCGACCTGTGGCTGCCTGTACTCCAGCCACTGCACAAGCTTAGAACATGAGTTCAGGTTCATGCCTAGTGCTGTGCAGGGCACACTGGCAGTGCTGTTCCATGGCACCCACATGGAACTGGTGAGAGGAAAGAATAGAGGAGAAAGACACAGGCACAACAAATACCCTGACAATGAGATGTGAGTGGGTTAAAAGAGCACCATGACAAGCCTGTGAGACTGAATTCTGCACCCCATAAGCAGTCACTTGTACTTGTTCCCCCATAAATGTTCAACACAGCATGTTTGTAACAGACAGCAAATACACAAATAGCCCAAACGCCACAAACTAGAAAATGACTATATAGTGGTACATTTGTGCAGTGCACTGCCACAACGCTTCCTCTCACTATAGCATCTGTGGCCTAACACCATCTTATAAAAGCATTGGGTGGAGAAGCTAGGCTCAGGGATCATATTGCTGCCCCTCTGTATATCTCAAAAAGGGAGACTTGACCCCAACCAAACCATTTTGCCGTCCCATCTAGCTAATCAAAAGTATTTTGGAAAAGAAAAGGAATGATGAATGCGAAAGTCAGCATAGGTTCACCAGGTAGAGGAGGCAGGGAGGCAGGCAGGAGAGGAGCACACAGGAGCCAGCCCTACCAGTGGTCCAGGTATTGTCTGAAGGTAGCTTTGCTGACACTTACTTTGCTATCAGTAACTGAAGCAAAAGAGAGAGGTCAGTCAGCACAGACTAAGCAGAACAGGACTGTGTATATCAGGACTACAATTAGTCACAGTCTATGCACTTAAGGAGCCAGGGTCAGTGCAGGCATCAGTTAAGGTGGCCTGTCAGGAGAAGCACCAGGAAGAGAAAATAAATCATCATATGTGGATGTGAAAGCTTTGCAAGGTCAGGAGACTGCTACTCCCCTCTGTGGAGCCAAAGGCAAGCGATACTCGTTTGTTCTTAGATTCCTACCTTGCCTCAAACCAAGGCCTAGTTGTGTATCCCTCTCACCCCTAGACACATGTGGCCAGCAGGCACTACTTTAAAACAAAGGCATTAACTCCAGTCCAAATTGACAGTACCAAGGCCAGCAAAGACTCAGGGCAAATCCAGAACACTCAAGTCAAGCTAAGGAAAAAACTTTCTCTTGTCTTCTGCCCCAACTTAGGCATCCTGGGAATCTAAGGGCAAGGTTTGCTGGGGGCCATTTTCTCCTGGGGATACCAACAGTGTGTAAGAGTACAGCACACACTTATAACTATGTGGAACAGTGTACACCAGCCAGTGCCTTTCTGCTGAGGTCTCCTCACAAATTTAAGGCTGGGTATGAACAATCTAGTTAACTTCCCCAGGGAAAGAGAGATGGCAAGAATAAACCATACAGGTTTGTGGTTGCCTTAGGCCCTGGTTTGAAGCAAGGTAGGAATCCAAGAACATATAAGAGTACTGCTTGCCTTTGGCTCCACACAGGGGAGCAGCAGTCTCCTGACCTTCCAAAGCCTCCACATCCACATGCGATGAGTTATTTTCTCTTTACGATTTTAGTGGGTTGAGCACCCTAAGTCAAACTGCAGACAGCATCACAGGAGGCTGGGCCATTCTTCACAGGACAGATGTCTAGAACCAATACCACTCTGAGGAGGCAAAGCACCACGTAAGCATTATCCCTGTGGCCCCTGGTTACAAAAGCCAAAGCTGTCAGACAGGACAAGCTCCTGCTTCAAACAGTCATTTTAATTGGCTGGTAGCCCTCACACCTGCTGCCCAACCTCTGCTGATGGGAGCCTAGAGTGCTCTGTTCTACTGATGGCATCTAACCTCCACTAGTTATTCAAATCCTTCCCTTTCTCCACCTCCTTTCTCTCAAGGGGCTCTCGAGGGAATAGAGAAACTGATCACTGGCAGTTCCTAAAGAACATCCTAGGCAGACTTCATGTCTCTTGCTGGCCACAGGGCCAGCTGAAGATAGAGGGTGAGCACAGAGGGCTAAAGAAAAAAGATCCCTGTCTAGAGAGATAGCCAATATGAAGACACACTCAGACACTGCCGTGGTTCTGGGCACAGGGCACAGGAAGGACAGACAAAATCTTCAGTTATTTTCAGTTAAAATGTTTCAAATCTGCAGGAGTGGTCCTTTGGAAGCTTTCTTTGTGAATAAGACTCCACCAACATTTCTGAAAACAAGGCTGGGAGTGTAGCCAGTGTCAGAGTCTAGGACGTGTGAGGCTGTGGGTGGTCTCCAACACCAGAAAAACACAATTTCCCAGAATAAAGATGCTTTCAGCTCATTACCAAATGCCATAGCGGCAGCAGCCTCCCTCCCTCTGATGTGACTAAGCAGCATTCGTGGAGTAATATACCTGCTTGTTTTCTTTTTCCAGAGCTTCTGCCAAGCACAATGTGAATACCTGCAGAGCAGCTAGAACTTCTGGGGCTCCGTCAGTCTCCAGCAGCACAAACCTGAGCAAAGCAAAGTAAGACGACAACACACTGCTGTCACACACACACTGCCACCCATGCCAGCGCTGGAGCCAAGTCTCCGTTCATCCGGCTACAGCTCCCAGTGTGGGCGGGAGGAAGCAGCCATCCTTCAAGCCTTTCTTGCACAGCCTTCCCATAGGCTTGCTATCATTTTCTAGCACCTTGGTGTTTATAGCCCAGTGTCAGCAGCAGGCGCTCTGCTTTCACCAGAAAGCTAGGAGTGGCTAGAGAGTGGCACACCCAGTCAGAATCACCACAATGCGACTGGGGAAGCTATAGACTTGGTTTGGTTTCTATGCCTTTTCATACAATTAACTTCTCTTTTTGTTTAAGGGAGAAAAAAATTCAAACTTGACAAGCCTTAAACAAAAACACTAACCTGTCTTTTGACCTGGCATTTAAGGTAAACTTGGTATGTTTTAAGAGCAATGCAAATGGTGAGGTATTGGTTGTAAAAATTCCTTTTCTATATTCAGATATGGTGGTGCACATCATTAATCCCAGCATTCGGGAGGCATAGGCAGGTGGACCTCTGAGTTCAAGGCCAGCCTGGTCTACAGAGTGAGTTCCAGGACAGCCACAGCTACACATAAGCCCTGACTTGGAAAAAAATCCTTCCCTAGGGCTGGAGATAAGGCTCAGTGGTCAAGAGCACATGCTGCTTTTCCAGAGGATTTGAATTCAGTTGCCAGCAACCATATCTGGAGTTCACAATCCAACTAATTCCTGCTCCTGGGGATCCAATGCCTCTGACCTCTTCAGGCAGCTGTACTCATTTGCACATAACTACACAGATATACATACCTACACATAATTTAAATATACACATACATATTTAAAATAATTCCTTTCCTGCAGCCCAACATTTTTCCTGGAGCCCATCCCTCCATGGCTGTGAGAGGCGGGTGGTCTGAGGCAGGTCCAGCCCTGACCTGCCCACACCCACACGGGGCTGGAGGCCTTGGTCTCTCTTTAGTTGCGCAGTTGCAACCCCCATGAACTTCGGAGAGAGTAAATGGTGTGCCACAGTCCTTGTTGCGGTCTCCTAAAGCCAGCGCGAGTTCCCAGGGCCTGAGTCTTTACAAGAGCCACCATGTCATTAAAATGTGGGCTTAGTCTGCCTTTCAGAGGGCTCTGTTGAGAATATCTTTGTGTTTCTTGGCTTTTTGAGGGTCTGTGACAAAGCCCAGCCAGCCCCCATGTGGTGACGGGATGTACTGCTTGCTTTACTTGCTGCTGGGGAAAACCCTGCATGGACAGTTCACATCAGCCACTCCTTCAAGCCCACTCCTCTATCGTCATTTGAGTATAAAAAGGTTAAAGAATATCACCTCATTCCTAATACTGCCTTCTCAATGCACACTGACTTCTGTGTTTTCACCGCTAACTACCTAAGAGCGCAAGCCTCTAATTTCCCACACTAGCCAGAGACCACTGCAAGGATTTTTATTTGCACTTGGAAGCTGAGCATTTCCAGATCAGCTGCTCCCAAAGACAGTATATTTACCTGAACATTTCATCAACAATTCTGAAGATGGCAGGGTGGCAGGCTGCTTGAGGCTATAAAAGGAAAAGACTATGAGACAGTGAAATACAACAGGCATCTATCAATAGCAACTTTGGATTAATAGGCAAACAGGTCTATGGCTGCTCTAGAAAAGTGACACATTCCTTTAGGTAAAACAAAAAGAGTACTCTCAGTGCAGTGAAAAAAACCCCACACAAAATGCCAGCAGTGGTTTTCTTTGGGCATGGGCTTTGGGGAAACTTTATTTACTTATTTTGTATTCCTGTTATATCCCGTGTTTTTGTTTTTGTTTTTTTAATATGAGTAGAAAAAAAGGAGTATGTTTCAAGAGTAGTTAAAAACCACTTCATGACCACAGACCAAAGGATCTGCCTTAGGATTTCCTCAGCTGACCTTGAGGTACCTTAGCAGAATGCTCTAGCTGTTGTTCTCACACTCCCCACCTCACTCCCACCCTGACCCCATATTTGGTAAGGAGCACCTAAGAAACAGGTGGCCACCACTCTCCTTGACATTCAGTACCGGGTACATTTAGCAGTTAATGGGAAGTACAGCCACATGGCACTTAGTGAGAGCTGTCTGTCTATTCCTAGAGTCGCCTGCTGTTGGGGTTTGATGGGTTCAGTCAAAAGAAGCTGGCTTCTTGGGGCCTAAGAAGAGCTCCGAGGGGCCATAACAGTTTCCATGTATTTTTAATCAGAGCTTAAAACTTGAGTTTGTGACATATATATTTTAAAACCTATTTGCATTACAAAACATATTTCACAGTGGCATCCAGAGATGAGTAGGCCAGGCTCTAATAAAGGGATTTTTCTGAGGACATTTTGTGCTTGTTATGACTAGATTTGGGAAACATTTTTTCCGGCCATCTTGGACCCCATGCATCACTTTTCTGAACCACCCTAAGGAAAGCTGAGTGTTGAGCTCTTTGGTTTCCCACTTTGTTAATTTTGCCATGGCAGCTTAACTTGCAACATGGAGAATGTGCCATCTAGTGGTCATATGTGATCATTGCAGTCTGCCACACACAAATGTTGGGAGGCTGTCCTTTTCAAAAACATTTATGATTTACAAGTTAATGCTTTCTGATTTTCAAATAAAGTAACCCATGATCTCTAACCCTTTGTCAATACACATCTTTATCCAAGTGAAGCGAGCCTAAAATTTTCATAAACTTGTTACCTACTTAAGAAATTAACAACAGAAGAACGGCAGGTTATTCCTTGGCTTTGATCTCACAAAGTCATTTAATCTGCCTGCTTCTCAGCCTCACTGTAAATACTAACAGTTGTTCAGGCACTTGGACATAGGCCCAGAAAACACTGAAAGAGTTGCTATGTGTTCATAATGGAAAAAAATACAAACAGGAGAACAGCAAATTAGATATCTTAAAGAAATACAACTCAGCTAATTTTCCAGGACAATTCTGTTTTATGTAGGAATGCACCTCCTAAAAACAAAATCTGAAGACCCCCCCCCCCCCCCCCAGCACAGCCGCACACCCACAGGCACAGCCACAGAGCTGGAATGTACACTGAGGGAAAGTAAGAGCAGAACTGGATGTTTTATTCCAAATAGCGTAACGACCCACCCTGGCCACCGAAGATTTGAGAG